TGGGGAGGCAAGTGCGGGCTTTTTTTGTTTTTCCTGGGTTCGATGGATTAGGGATGAGAGTTTAGGGATCTTAGAAGATTATGCTGGTAGCAGTGGACTTGGCAACAGTTTGCTTTCTCGCCTAGGGCACGAACCCCTGGTCATGGACACATTGTGGAAAACATGGTTTCTGCAGGCCCCAGCACAATGCCGAAACAAGGCGGACTAGTAGGCTCTCAACAATGGCTAGACATGGAATGAGATTAGTAACCACCGCATGGAGGTAAATCTTGAAACAAGGAGCACTGCTTTGGCCCCTGTATTGTGGGCTTATCGGAGCCCTTGTAGTTGTATATTCTCCTATAGTGGGGTTTCCACAAATCCGCCGTAACTTTTCAGGGTTATCTATAATCTATAGGAATGATTCTAGTGTTTTGTGGTATTTGGTGATCTACATTGGCATCGCCCGGTTTACGGAAACTACCATAAGACCACAGTTTCCATTTCGTTTCCCCTTGTCTTCTCCACCTGATCGCAGCAGCCCAAGTGCAGGGATCTCTTGAGAATCTCTTCTGATGACTTCAGGTGACCTTCCAGATAGTTCATTTCGGGGCTTAGTCGTCTAACAGTGAAGGCGAGCTTTAAATTGCTGTCCGGTGCTTTGAATTCTGATGTTCCAGCATGACGCTTGTGACATGAGTCTTGTGACCATGACTCTGCCGTCTTTAGACCCTAAGATCTTTTTTGTGAGGACGTTGAGTCTTGGGCTTCCCCTATGCATCAAAAACCTATCTTCCCGCAAGGTTTTTTGTAGGCAAAGATGGCAAGCATCCATGAAACCCGAGCCTCCTGCTCTGAAGGTGATGGAGGAGGTCCTGAGGCCGCCAAAGGTGTTGGCTTGCGGCATCAGCTTTACACCGTACCGGTGTCGGGAAGAGAGTAGTCTTCGTGTGTAGCTGTAGAATATGGAAGGTCTGGATCAGGCCCTTAGCCATGTGGTGGCCCTGTGGTCCTGTGTAACAAGCCAGCGACTCTGCGATGAGAGCAAGATGTGAAGAGTCAGGAAGGCAAGTGAAGGTCAGGGTGAACCACGACAAGCTTGCGTCATTTCTAAGGTCCAATTGAAATGAAGATTCATTTTCCCTGCACAGTTTCAAGCCCAAAGCATGAGCCCATGTCTTGTTGTAGGCAGTTGCTTGTCCCTGATAGATTGAAGCACACTTGCACCTGCCGCAGCATTTTTGCCCAGTCCCCTTGCTTGTAGCTCAAAAGGGATTAGACGCTGCTTCCTCTCTGGCCATGGGAAACTTGCCAGTTCTTGATGAGGTGGGCAGGTCTTTCCAGTCTTTAGGCGACGTCATTCAAGGCAAGCCGGAACAGGCTGCTGACCGGTGGAAGGGTTGGGAAGACAACAGTTTCCTGGGCACTGCCGGCAAAGCGGTGGGCAACGGTGTGGGAGCCATTTGGGACGAGGACTGCAGGAAGAGGGCTGAAGAGGCTGGAGAAAGGCTTGGAGCCATCACCGTGAATGCGACCACTCAGGCGGCTGGTATTGGGATGCAGGCGCTGACCGCAGGCGTGCCAAACCCCGGTATCTGGTTCCCTGCAAGAGGCTGCCTCTTCGGCCGACAGGGAGATCAAGCAGTCGGCAAAAGAAGGCCGCCGTATGAATTGGGACGAGTATGGCCGCAAGTACGGAGTGGGCGCAGCAGGTGGTGCTGGCAGTTGCGGTGGTCTTATCCCCTTGGCCAACGAGGCCATTCAGAAGAAGATCGACTACAACGGGGGCCATGCGAGCACTCCGCATCTCACCGAGGACGAGATGAAAGCGGCTGCTGTGTCCTGGGGTATCAATGTCATAGCCACAGCAGCCATTGTCGGCCCCAAGGTGAAAGCAAAGGTCGATGTTATGAAGGCCTCAAAGCAAGCGCTTGATGACAAGAAGGTGTTGACAAAGCAGCTTGCGTCTGAGGCGCAGCAGGCACAACTTTCCTGGCTGACTAGGCGAAGTCTGCTGGAAGCAACATCAGAAACTTGGCCCTGCTGGGCTGCCGCCCCGGCTCATACAGTTAAGGCGCGCGAATTCGACGTCTAAACTTGGCCCTGCTGGGCTGCCGCCCCGGCTCAGTAGAGTCCCAGATCTCGCCTTACTATGGCTTACTGGGCGCGGTTCCAAAAATCTCAACAGTTAAAGTGCGCAAACTCTGGGACTCTTCTTGTAACTGCGGGGCAGCCACCCGTTTTCGGCGCAGCAGCAAGCCCGGACCGCGCAGACTGCGGCCAAAAGGGGATGGAAGCTGGGCTGAAGGAGCATGCAGCCAAACATGCCGGGCTGCAGGCTGATGCCCTAAAGCAGCAACGCAAGCAGCTGATGCAACATCATCTGACCCCTGATATATCAAAGCCGCGTCTGCCTTGCCAAAGAAGTACGGCCTGAACTTGTTGCAGGATATGACCCAAAAGGAATTCAACGCGGCTGTCTGCGAGTTCCTGACGAAGTCTGCAGCGAATGGAATGAAGACCCTGTTCTCTCCAGCCGCTCTTCAAGAAGAAAGTCTTTCTGCGCAGCACAGGCACAGGCCTCTACGTGCATCCCTCCGGCGGCCATAACGTGAAACTCATCTTCCACCCGGGTGCTGCAGGCGCTCGCGTCGCTTTACAGGTGCCGAGCATGCGGATCAGGTTTGCCTTCGGAGCGCCGAGAGCGGTCGCTTCGTCCACCCGCACAGGGGGCAGGCTGTCGCCGGCGCTGCGCTGGTCTTTCACGAAGGTGTGGACGTGCCGCGCATCGCGCTGCAACTTGAACCGTGCCACTACCAGCAGGCTCTATGTGCACGCATCAGGAGGGCAGCCCACCCAGGATGCAGAGCTCATCTTCCACCCCGGACGGTGTAGCCTTCAGGGTGGAAGCGCTGTGAGGGCATAGCTGATGGTGCTCCCTGTGGCAAGATTTTCGGGCGTAGTGCCCCAATATCTCAAGCAGTGCAGAGCGTTGCAGAGATTAGCAGCTCAGTGAGTTCAGGACCCTGGGCCGCAGTAGTTCAGGAAGAGCCTTGAAGAGGCTATGAAGGCGGCAAACCTGCGCCCTGCCAGTGCATTTATATACCGCACGAAGCTATCCAAAGAAAGACAAAAAGCTGTGCCAATTTTTGCTTTCTGGATTATACAGGGATACTGGAAAAAACATGCAAACACCTACACTTCACAGGGTGTACGATGCATATATCTGTATATATACATACAGGGGAAGACTACATTAGGGTTACATGGGGATAATGGAAAAGAAAATGGAAGCTACCAGAATGGAGAACCAAATGGGAAATCAAGTGGAACATGAAATGGAAACCATTATGTGCAGCAGGAACAGGGAATGGCTCCTTTTTGTACTCCACCAACAGGATTCCACAGCTTTAGCTTTTGCTATATGGTAGTTTTCCTAAATAGGGGTACCCCAACATAGACCCAAAACTATTATAATCCTTTTTTATGGGGAACCCCCAAATGGTACCCGTAATTGCTGGAAACCCACATATCTACATAGGGCCAATGCAAGCTTCTCAGCTGAAGTTCAGAGGTCAGATCCGTTTGTGGTGGGATGGTACCAAAGTAATCCTAATACAATCTCCGTGAGGCTCTGTCATTCCCTTGCAGAACCTTGTTTATTGAGGGGGTCTGAGGTGTCAGCCTGCAAAGTGCAAGAGCAGCTGAGAACCAGCATCCCAACCCACCCAAGCAGGCCATTTTTTTGCAACTCAGCCGCAAGCTAAACTTCAGACCTCTTGCTGTGCAGTTTGCCACCCTGCTACCCGGAAAACCTATAGGCCTCGACCTCAGCTCTAAACCCTTTGGATTGCACATGCTATTGACATGACTGCAAGTACTTGGAGTCATCCACATTGTTGAGGCCCTGGGTAGCAGAATCTCCCTTCAATTCCAGAGAGACTTCTAAAATCCTGGTGAAGCCCTTTAGCTTTAGGATCTGCCGGTGCATCCTATGAAGCCTATCTGTACCCTGACCCCAATCCTGCACTCGTCCAAGAAAAAACTCCAAACACCAACCTTCACCACTATGCCCTGTTTCAAGGAGCTTAAGTGTCCCCCTTAAGGTTTCCAACCTTGGGTTTTGGGTCCCAAGCATCCACAGTACAAACCCTAAGGGTACAAAAGAAAACGTCCTGACTGCTCCGTTGCCGTACGGGCTCCTGGTCCCTCGGGGTGGGGTGTGTATATAGCCAGTTTTGCGGCAGCCATGGCGGAGGCGGCCGACGAAAAGGCGGTCTCAACTAAAGGAGGCTTCAAACTTATATCCCCCTGTATATATGTGCATAATTACCGATATATCCATATATACTGCAGTATACCCCTACATACCCCCAGGGTGTGCAGTCAAGTCAAGGATCTTTGGGCATTTTGGGGCTTCTTGTTCGGGTTCCGCATGTAGAGTTCAGGTTGGGATTTGTCAGAGATGCCTTCTTACCTTCAATACAACATGTACGTGGACGACAACTGGGTGGATCCTTGTGTCAAGACTGACCAGGAGCAAGAACTAAGATTAACAGTTGTTGTGAGTCAGACCGACTGAAAATGCTTGGCCCCCCGACCTTACTCTGGCTTTTGGACATGGAGTACCTAAGTGTTGGTCTCTGCCCATGCAGACGAAAGTGTGCTTGCGGTTCCAAGTTGCAGGTTCTTCTGTGGTGTTGTTATGAAGCTAAGATATTCATTGCAAGGAAGTGCGTTCCACCCGGGTGAAGGCCACAGGATTCCGCAAGTTTGGGGAGTTGTCCCAAGCGAGCTTAGGGAGCTCTCTCGACCCCCCACGCCCAAGTCTTGTCAACCGAAGTCCAGTGATCCAAGGCGCCTTGGAAAGGTGCTGAAGTGTTGCTGTTCCTTTTTTCCTGTAACTGGCAGACCATGCACACAAGGCAAGTCTGACAGCCATCTAGACCCCAAACCCTAAATCAAAATCCCTGAACACCCCTGATAACAAAATTCCCTCAAAGCTTTGGATTGCACTGGAGGACAAGGAGAAGGAGAAAGAGAAAGCCACCGGGGATGGTGTGGGGCCAAGCCTTTGGGGTTGGTATCTGCAGGGGTGTGGAAGGTACCTGATTGGTGCCAAGGTTTAGGCTTTGAGGTTCGGCCTTGATGAATGCCAAAGGGGCTAGGTAAGTCCAATCATGTGCCTGCTTTCACTGCTCCAACTAGCATCTGCAAAGTGAGGGTCTGTCAAAGTTGGTCAGAATCGGGGTGGGGTATGAGAGCAATGGTGACCACAGCCGGTGGATACGACGACTCAATGTGTGAACATGTTGTTTTCCCACCAAACGCAAGAGACAAGCTTATATAATCCCTGTATACTGTAACCCTCATGCAACCATAATCGAGACAATATTTCTCTACATCCTATATAAGCCAAACATGGGTTCTCATCCCAAACAAGCTCTTGGCTGCTTTGGTTCCGACCTAAGCGCGAAATCCTTAACTCTAAACCCAAACCTGACGACGCGAGAACACCTTGCTTCATGCCGGAGGCGAGACCCCCGTGGTGGGCGACCTCAGCCTGGAGACGGCAGCCATCCCAGGAGACTGCATATTCATTCACCAAGATGGGCTAGTTATAGGGGAATTCTGAGGGACTATGCAAGGGAGATACTTGCTGATTATACATATATATATATACATATGGATTGCATAGCGGTTATGTAGGGATCTTCATTCACCAAGATGGGCTTGTTCGCGCAACTAGGGATGGGGTTTGTTTTTGGTAATGGAGAGTCCCGTGGAAACGAAAATGGAAGAATCAATGGCTGCAATAGGATGCTGCTTTAGTGAGTTGTACAAGTCCTGCTACTAAAGTTGCAATGACTGTGGTAAAGTAGGGAGAGGTGGAGCTCAGATTTTCATCTTTTCTGTCATGTTCCAATACACGGTTGGCCCGTGCGTCAGGAGGTTGACATTGAATTTGGACACGGCCCTGAAGTTTGTTCCAGCGCTGTGCGCAGTTTCTGGTGTAAACAGAACTCTTAGATCCCTTGAGTTCAGAGCCCTAAACTCACTCTCAAACGCCTGACTCGTCTTATCCCTGGACTCCAAACTCCTTGACAGAAAGCCAAAATCTCTTAGCTCGAAACTTCCCAAGCCCTGTCTCATAGACTCAGGCAAGTCAGAGGTTCTGACTTCCAGGTTGGGAATGCCTCAAAATGAGCCCTACCTGAGCTAGACTAAAGTTATTTTGAGGTGGATATATAGGGGGGGAAGGGGGTGGAGCAAGAATCACAAGGGGGCGGTACGGGTTTCATTGCTTTCCGAAGCATCGAGCGGGCGAAGGGAGGGGAAGGGGCTCTCGGCCGGGGGCGGATTTAGCCGCGGGGATAGGGCCGTTGCAAAAAAAACATGGGGCCGGTAGAAGCCACGGCCTTGTAAAAAGCGTTCGACACTTGTTTTGAAGGAGAGGCGGACAACCTCCTAGACAAGATCCTGAAGCCCGGGGCTCAGGGGCTTGAGGTGATCATGTTGGTGTAGAAGGATTTCATGGGCTAAGTTAACCCTGAAGGCTGTGAAGCATTTAGACAGGATCCAAGTTGGGGGGGCTTCAGGGATGAGAAGGTAAGTAGATCATGATCATCGACATGTAGCAGCAATACTGGCACTGATGTAGCATACCAGGAGTTTCGGGTCTTCCTGCCCAGATCGTGAGACCCGAGTTGTCAAAGCAAGCTCCTATCATGTGGGGATTGTCCTAAATTACTGTCAATACGGGGTCCTATATTTAGGTTCCTATTATAATACGGGGCCCTATATAAACTTCCCCCATTCTGGGAACAGTAATTGAGGGAAACTTCCATGTACCAACTTCAACTTCTCCCGTAGCAGATTCTGTACAGTCGAGTCAGGGGGAACACAATAACTGAGTCGGGGCTCGAAGCGTTTCTGCAAGTTCCCGCTTGCAGATTCATGAGGGTGTTTCCTGGGTTGGTGTTAAGGAATTCAGCTTAAGTTGCTATAATGGGCATTTGTAGTAAATACATGTAATAGAGTTTCCCCAAAATAGTATCTTGAGTTAAGTTCCTTAACAGCAACCCAGTTCCTCAACACGATGCGCCAAGCATTCCAGGCCTCCCTGACAGGTGGCCTGAGACACCATGGGAGGTCGAGAAAGCTTTATGATTTAGGTTCTAAGGCAGTAAGGGTTACAGGGATAACGGAAGACAAGATGGAAACTAGTATGGTATTTGGGGTTTAGTGGCACAATGTACAGCATGTTCCAGTCTTGGAAAACCAATGTCCTTGATTGCCAAACCCTGCATCCGCAACTGGAATCCTGAAAGGCTCTTTTCTACAACTTTCTGCGCAACTTGAGCCCCAAATTCTTAGATCCTACCATGGTCCGATCTTAAACTTTGAACAACTCCTGAACCTCTGGGGCAAAATTCTTCTGCGGGTCAAGGAACGCCCTGGCTCCAAAGGCGGGAAGGGATAGGACGCCAGGGTGCATGGATTCAGGGATATACACAGGGATGTGCACAGGGATATCTTGTAGGGATATATGTAGGGGTACATAGGGATATGCAAGAATGTATAGGCACACAAGAGTTAGATGTGGGTTTATAGGCTTTAGGGCTCGTGGGTTAGGTTAGCAAAAGGGAAATAAGCACGCCTGGACCACAACAAGCTGCGCGAAAAGAGCTAGAACTTCTATACGTACATAAAAGTAGAAGTAGCCTAGAAACAAGGATTCTCATTCCAACTATTTGCTCCTATGCCGCAACCCGTTTCAAAGAGACACTACTGCAAACGCAACGGCTTCCCCTCTGGAGGACATGTATGTTGGGGCTGTTGCGATTTGTTGAGACGGCTAGTACCTTCGCGAACATATTGTTAGTGCTATGCATTTTGCTAGTGGTATGGCGGGTGCAGCCAACTGTTGCAACCTACAGGAAATTATGGCATTCCAAGTGGTCTACTGGGTTGCTATTAAGGAGGAACCTAATTTGAGTTACTACATTGGGGAAACCCTAGTACTTATTCTATATGTATATATATATATACACCCATAATAGTGGCTTAACTCAAGTTCCTTAACAGCAAGCCAGTATAGGATTTCCTCCATTAGCTATACTGCTTCTCTACCGCCGGCATTACCGAATTTCAATATCTGGTCTACTTTTACACTTTTTGCGTCCCGAATCGTGACCACTCTCATTGCACTTCTACGGCTCGTCAGATTCTTAGCCTCGCGCATAGTACTGGTTTCTTCCATAGCATCTCAAGTTGTTGCTCTTACTGTGATCGATTCCACTTTCGGCTTCGCGCTTAGATTCGTTCAGATGTCGGAATTGCTCAAGGCGTCGGTCTTTCAAGCCCTTGGTTGAAACTCTCTTCTACTTGATCCCCCTAAGCTGTGAATTTAAGCTTGCAAACGCCAAACTTCAACCCCTAAGACCCTCAACCGCTCAACCCTAGACCCCAAGCCACCCAGCAGGTCAAGCCGGAAGTGGCGAAAAAAGAGGGTGTCAAGAACGAGGTCAAGTCTGAGCTGATCAAAAGCGAGGCAAATGGGGTGGGGAGTATTCTAACCCTGCAAACTCTAAGCACATAGACTTGTGGAGATATTATATTATATACGCATATGCACATATGAGCGCCTGACACATTTTGTTGGTCGTCCGTGTTTGGTCTACACTTGACTTGTGCGATAAGAAACTTAAGCCGGTAGCGACCACCCGGAAAAGACAGGCTAAAAACAATGACAGAAGCCTGAAAACTCAACGACAGTATGTTGCTACCAGGAAGCGGCAGTCATTTTAGCCCTAGTCGATTGGGTGGCGATGTCATAAATGTCATCTTGAGCCGGAATGTGTTACTTTGCGGACAAAATTCGCTGGCATAGGAATGGGCATTTTTCAAAATAGAGGTACCCTCACTCGGGGACTCTCGGGGAATCTAAGGGCCAGCTCCATAGAATTGATGGGGGTATGTTTGAAAAACTCTCAAATAGTGCTTTCCAACTTCCAAAGTCGCGGTAGGTATCTGTCTATGCAATTGAAAGAAATGGGATGTTTTTTTAACACCCTAAACCGTAAGCCTGCATGTGGGGGTTCCAGAGATGAGGGTTTGAAGTTTGGGAGCAAGGAAGGGTCATCTTTTGGGGGGAGACTGATGGGGACCCAGAGCGTGCCTCTCGGTAAAGCAAGTCTAGGTCTCCCAAAGCAGTGGGTCATCTGACTGCTGACATTCTTGAGCATTCCAGCGCTCAAGCGCTAGAATGTTGATCCTGCGTTTTTTTTGCAAGGTGAAGAGTGGGGACTGAAGTGATGCGAAGCCCCACAGCCTCTTCACCCCTCTCAATTCAATGCAATTGTGAATCTCTCAGGCATGAACAGGGTGTGGAGAAGTGTTTCTTGTGCCATCGTCATCACCATGGCAGCCAGCCCTGAGAACGGTACCGAGCCATTAATCCAAGAGTTCTGAGACGTGAAATCCAGCCCTCATGAACGTGCGCAAGTTGGAGCCCTGGTAAACCCTTATCATCTTCTAAAGACCGTTTCAGAAGTTCCAGACCATCTGCACTTCCGGAGGTGAAGACTGAGAAGGGAATCAAGCAAGAGAAGTTGGATGGCGCATCCGGCCGCATTGCTTTTGAACAGAGGAAGACGCAAGCGCATGCCAACATCGTTGTCAGTATTCTGAGGTCCCTACATGAAGCCTAGATTCAGAGATGATGAATAATTCCTGCCTGTGGAGCACTTTCTCGCAAGAGACACTGAACCTTGATCACAACAAGCCTGCTGTATGTGATCAGTCGGTTAGGCGCTCAGACCTTTTCTACACTTTCTCCTTTCACCCCGCCGTCCCTGCTAAATGGATTCGCTCCTTCTGACTATGAGTCAAGCAGGCCGCATTGGAAATGAGGACTGCCAGCCTAAGAGTCTGGGGACAGTTATCTTACCCAAGTGCCACGGTTCCATTTTAGGTAGGCCGCAGAAGTTCGCAAACCTAAGAACTGACCAAGACAGAGGCAGCAGTTTGTCAACTCCTCACATGTCCTCCCACAAGCCTTAAGAAGCATGCTTCCTTTAACGCCAGCTCCGGCATTGCCCGACATCGACGGAGCCGGGAGGCTGGACATCACAGATGCCTCTGAACTTGTTCATCGGTGTCCTATTTCATTCTGGACCTAGTGCATCACAGACTCTTGTGGTCAAAGTTAGGCAGGTCTGTTGTGGCCATTGAGGAGCGCCAAAATCATCGCGGTGAATTGGAGCTAAGCTGAAAGCTATCCTTACGTTTTGCACGCAGTGGACTGACTAACAAAAGACAGTAGTGATCCTGTTATGCCTGAGAAGACAAGATGAGGAAGATTCTGGAAAGATTCCTTACATGATCCCTACTAACCCATGATCCCTTTGCACTTCGCCTATGCTAGTTTCCCAAAAGTAGGGTCCCCCTTATATATGCCAATATATCATAGTCCGAATTATGGGGAACCTTCAAAGAGGTACCCCCAATCTTGGAAAACCCAACCCTAAATGTCCTTACATACCCTACATAACCCCTACATCCCCTTTACAGGTACTCCTATATAATCCCTATATGACCCCTACATATTCTCTAATCTCATACCCATATAGTCCCCTCAAGCAGATAGAAAATGGGGTATATGTGGATCTTATTACAATATGCCCAAAGCCATATTCTATCTACCTAGTGGGGTGTATAACCCTAAACCCTAAACCCTAAAATGTATAAACGGAGGCTTAGCCCATTGGGTACCCCTTGGGTTGCGCAGGCTGAGGAAGCGCAGCCGCAGCCGAAAAAAGTGGCGGCCTCGGATTTCTGCACAAGGGTCTAGGGTTTTAGGGGTTTGGGGTT